TATACATTGACTTATTTTTCCCATGCAAAAAACCTTCTTAGAGCATTGAGTGCATCATATAATATTTCTTCTTGCCCCTAAATCATATATTCAGGTGCCTCTGACCATACGATAGACTAGCCACTTTGTTCTTGTTAGAATATATTGGAGAGTGGTAGACTTGTAATAAATATATGCCTTAAGGGGTATATTAGACCTTGTGTTTGCAAACATATATAAATGGATGAGTGTAGGGGAGAAAGATGTTCTATGCCTCCATCGTTCTCCTCTCTCTAAACCCTAATTATATCACTTGGTATCAGAGCCACCTAGTAATCTCTTCTTCTCATTCTCTACTTTCCCTTTTATCTTTCCTTGATCTTTATTTTTTTCTTTTCTTTTCTGCCTCAATGTGCGAGGATCTTCGTATTTTTAGATCTGTCAAAGTTTCAGATTTGTTGAACAATTGTTGATGGTTGGGATTTTTTTTCTTTCTTTACTGTTCGTTACCGGCATGGTCGTTGTTCGCAGTCGATCCTAACTCTCTATGATTGAGTCTCTTCGATTGTGATCGAGTGTTCGATTTCTTGTTGGGTCCAATCGATTGTTGTTGGTTGGGAGTGAGTTGCATCATTGTAGGTTGAAATCGTTCTTTTGTGCCGGGCTTTTGTATCGTGGTTGCCGGCAGTGAATTTTGGTGGTCTTGATAGGAACTGGTGAAGAAGATGGAACTGGTGAAGAAGATGGTGGTGTGTGGCTACAGGAACAATTAATCCTATCCTAGTGTAGGAGAAAATATTCATTACAATGGTGATACCACGTGACAAGGTAATGTGGTATCACCAACTAATAGTACTAAAATAAATAAGCACATGGAACTCACAAAAATCAATAACTAACCTACCATGTAAACAAACAACTTCCCACCCTCCTGCCATGTAAGCCCAAATGGGGTTCACCTTTCCCATTTGGAGTTTTATTATTGGTAGGTGATACCATGTTATCAATGGTGACGTGGTATCACCGTTGTATTCAATATTTACTCCTATTTTACATAGGCAAAACATTTTCATAATTTGATTCTTGTGAGAGTAATCTAGTATATTTAATCCTAATAGCCCATCCCGTGCGATGCACGGAATTATAATTTGTGTTTTTTTTTTTAATTTTATCAAGTGAGAAATTTGTGTTTTCGGGTGATAAAAAGTGATTTTTTTTGAATAAATTTAAAAAATAGTGCTTAGTTATTGAAGATTAGTGGATAGTTACCAATAACACATATTAAGAGAGGGTATGTCATATAATTTACAGCTCCCGAATCAATGATCCACAGATTGGAAGTGGAGGACATTAAACAAGTAGATGTTGTACCTAAATGAGCAAAGGTAGTAAATGAAAAGAGGGAATGTTTATGACACAGGAATTGAACATGCTCATCTCATGCAATAGTGATAAGATTCACAACAAGGAACTTAGTGGATGTAAGTGATGGAACATAAAAAGGAACATCTTCCCGATAAGAGGTGTGGTGAGCTAAGATTGATTTTTTACCATGCAAGTCCTAACAATAATCCACAGAATGATTATTTCGACCACAATGAGTACCCTTGCAAGTGTCGTGACTTCCTTTGCCACCATGACCTCAGCGAGGACCACTAGATCCACCACGAGTGCCATAACCTCTTCTACAATTACGACCTCCACGAGAACCACTAGATCCACCTTAAGAGGCAACTAAAGCTGAACAATCACCGATAAGATCAATACTCACATGAGAGTGATGAGTTGATAGGGTAGCCCACTAAAGACGGAAAAATACATTAGTAAGGTAGGGAAGTTTGGGCTTCCCAAAATCTGTGTACAGATAGGCTTATATTTGGATTTCAACCCAAGCAAAAACCGAACAACATCAAGGTCTTCATGTTGCTATTGAATACATGTATTATCATAAGAGATTAGTTGATACATTTTAAGTTCTTCACATAGTCCCATAGCCTTAAAGAAGTACTGCTCGAGACTCGAGGGACCTTGATTTAAATCTAAGTATTGTCTACACACCTCATAAATATGTGTGAGATTGCCTGTACCAGATTACATTTGAGTCTATCGATCCCAAATCTCTTTGGCAGTGTTTAGATATATCATGGCGATGATGCACAAATTGGGTTTGTACACCACCTGTCAAGTAATCAATAATAAATACAGTAAATAAGTAAGAGATGGAGAAGACAAGAATTTATAATAGTTTGATCAACGTGACCTACGTCCACTTTGAATGGCTAGGGTCGTCGAATATTTTATTACTTCAAGTGTGTAAGGAGAGCAGAGAGTTACAAGCTTTGAGATAGATAGGAGAGTTGTGCTCGAGTGTGATCTGCTCTCCAAATGTTGGTAGGACTTACAATTTATAGTCGCCTCTTAACATATTGGTGTGATTTAATAGTAACTAAGTGACTATTCTGGTGGAGCTGGTGATCTCTTCTCAATGAGCGAGGAAGTTATGGTACTCTCCACAAGATTCGGTCAAAGGATGAGGTGGGTGTTGACTCTTTCCAAGGCGGCAAGGATAAAACTCTTGGATGACCATTACATGCTCCCTTGCTTATGTAGCTCTCGAACTTGATGAGCTTGTCTGGGCATGGACCACTTTAGACACTAAATCTCTTGGAGTTGAACTCTTAATTTAAACTGAACTTATATCGTGGGCTAAGCCCTTGGTCATGGACCATTTTGAACGCAATATCTCTTGGAGTTGAGCTTTTTATTTAAACTGGACTTACATCGTGGCTAGGCCCTTGGGCTCAATCATCACATCACATTGTAGAACTTATGGGAGGCTCAATACTAATCAATATGAGTGAATAATGTGTGCATTTTTCCGCTCCCATTGGGCAAAACTAAGATCAGTGTCCTCGGGTTTATCTTTTACCAGATGCTTATAAAGTCCTTAAGGGTAAGACCTCAACTGACCGAGCCCATAAGAAAAAATTGCTGCCATTAGTTTAACTGAAGTCATGGGAGCATTAAAGAAAGAAGCTNTTAAAAGTCCTTTAAGGGTAAGACCTCAACTGACCGAGCCCATAAGAAAAAATTGATGCCATTAGTTTAACTGAAGTCATGGGAGCATTAAAGAAAGAAGCTGAGGATAAGTTTGGGGAAAAGCTTAGAGGGTTTGCCTTATGTGCCTGATCTATCTTTTCTGCTTGATCTGCCTTGGAATCCATGCCAAGAAACAGAAGTCCACTCAAGCTAAATATGTGCTAGAAATTGCTTAACTGCGGCAGATCTGTAAGACGTAAGGGCCAATATGAAGGAACCAATGCAGATCAGGCTTGAAATGGCGTAGGAAGCCTGAATTGGACCAGAAAATGCAGTAGGAAGCTTGAACTAGACCAGAAAATGCAGCAGCAATCCTGAACCAGACTAGAAAATTGAGCAGGATGATTGAACCGGATTAGAAAATTGAGCCGGGAGCCTGAACTGGACCAGAAAGTGTACCAGGAAGCCTGAACCAAGCCATGAAAGCTTCAGAAGCTTGAACTGTCGGAGAGGAAGCCTTCTGGGCACTAAACCGGTAGAAAAAGTACCTAGATCAAGCTGAACCGGTCTGAACCGAATTAGAGTGGAGCTGAATCGGTTTGATTGAACCGGTCTGATCTCTTCACCTTGGGCCTGAACCACATCATATTGGGTTGAATTATATGGGCTGGACTAACTGTCTTGGACCTGAATCAGGTGGCCGGGCTATTGACAGAATTGGGCCAATCTTATTGGGCTGTACTCAATTAAACCCAAAACATGCAAAATTGGGATTAGATAGTGACGGAGGAAGATGCTACACTAGTTTACATGATAGGTTAGTTATTAATTTTTGTGAGTTCTATGTGCTTATTTGTTGTAGTACTATTAGTTGGTGATACCAGATTACATTGTCACGTGGTATCACCGTTGTAATTAATATTTTCTCGTAAAATAGGGGAAACTTAAATTTAGTAACCCTATTTTTCAATGATTTGCAGATTTTTGGATTCCACAACATAATTAATTACCAATGGGTCTACCGAAAGAACATTCAATGTAAAAAACACATACAATTAAAAACTCAAAATCCTTAGTGATGACCTCTAATACACTCAAAGGATGCAGCTTAGTTTCTAGCCAAAGGGTCCACGTTGTAAATGCCAAGTTAGTAGACCACATATAGAGAGAGGGGATGGACATTCACTAACCTAGCGATTACGGACTAGAAAGCACGAACACTTTATTTTGGGCAGAGTGTCGGTGTCGAACATGTCTGGGACACGGATACGCTCAGACACGTTAAAATAAGTGTTGATTTTTTTATTGTTAAATGTTTTTAGGATACGTTTTGGATACGATCAAGACATGGGCCAATATGAGGGGGATATGTTTTGAGATTTATTTTCAAATTTTTGAAAAGTTTTTAGATAATTTTATAACTAAGAGTTATTTTTATAATTTTAAAGGGATATAAGTCACAATCATAATATTAAAAGAAGTTATAATCATTAGTTATTACATTGAACATAGAACATAAATTTAACATAATTTTGAATACGAATATAAACTTATATACAAATAGAATAAACTTTTAATATGAAATTAAAGTGAGAAAAAGTGGGATTACAAAATTGGGGCTCTTAAAAGATTATTATGATAGTATATTTATATGTACACACATACATACATATTATTTAACATATCAACCACGTGTCTTAGTCTGTGTCCGTGTCCTACTTTTTTAAAAAATTTCATGTCGGCATATCCTTATCGTATCGTATCCGTGCCTTTACTTCTTAGATCACAACACCAAGAAGACCTCTCCTCCTTTTCTAAAACTATATATACTGAGGAATCCCCTACATCAATGCCTTAGTGGCATCACCTTGACTAGCTGACTTGAAAATGGTAACACTCCCATTTTTCCCAGATGTGGGTCAAAGCAACAATCGAATGCGAACTTAACCACTGAATAAGAGGATCAAGTAAAATCACGCCATTCAGTGCATAATTGAAGAGATATTGTGGAATAATGGACTTACCAAACTCCCAAATTTTGCATATTCTTCTATTGAGACAAGATCAACGTGGGCACCAAGTAATCGTTCCACTAATAGATTACCTGTCAAAGCAGGATCTTTATCCGCAAGGGCCTGCACTACATCTAGAAATTTTGTGACAAGAAATTCCAAGCAAAAGCACAGCTAGGAAAAAAGACGAAAGATTAACAAGCAACCTTTGAGGTGAATAGTATAAGATAACTGTCGAGATTTAAATACTTAGCAGCGACAGCAGTTGCACGACAGTGATTACTTTGGATGCCTCCCATTGTTACAATGCAATCAGCCCCCTGCGCGATGGCATCTGCCAACAAGAATTCCAGTTTCCTGGCCTTGTTACCACTCATTTGCATTCCAGAAAGGTCATCACGCTATGTCAGTGCAAAAAAATATTCAGTCAGTCTAAACCAGGTAACTGAAGTACAGGACAAAAACTTATATTATACCCCTTCTAAGTTTTAGCCAATTCATTCACAAGAAGAGCATATGACAGCAGAGATATGTGTAACCTGAATTACATTAATATCTACTAAAATGATTTTGTAAAGACAAAGTGGAATTTTAAAGTTACCTACTCACCTTCAACCAAACTTGAGTGTTCTTCGGCAAATTGGGAAGGTTCAATTTGTGAATTGGAGTGGGGAACTGGCAAAAATTTCATAAAACAGTCAAAACATCAACTCTTCAATTCATACAGCATTTTAGTCAAAATCATAAGATAGGTACTGCGTTTTTCTTTCAAACTTAAACTTCAATTCAGCAAGAAATGCATTAGTTTGGTCCAGTTTGCTCCCGGGAGGATGGAATTGGAGACACAATTGTCCCTCCTAATACCCTCGTTAATGGGACCAAACTCGGCAATACCCTTATATCACTCCAAGAATTCGGAACACTTTTATCATTGCATCGTGGAATAATAAAAATGCACTTGAAGAATGTCTACTCTTGACTCAACATACAGCACGAGATCTCTGTTCTCCTTTTGCCTGTTCTGGTGCAATTCGAAACTGGGTTTTTCTCTAGCCCCAACGGCGAAGAACAACTAGAGACAAAGACACAGAGAAATAAGTGAAGTTTCTTACATGTCCAAGGGAGAAGATGTGAGATGGAACTGGGTTAAGGTGGGACGCCCATGACGGAGGCTCATAGGGCTTCTTTGTGAGGAAATCGAAGTTAGGTTGTTCTCTGGGTGATTCCATTAATTTGGCAGAGTAATTGCTTCGACAAGAGTAGAGGAAGATTTGGTGTTTGCTTTTGTTGGTTCAATCTTAGCCAGACTGAAGTGCACTCAGCCACAGCTCCATTGCATTAACGCGGGAGAATACGAATAAGTTCTCCCCGGCCCGCTGAAGGGAATAAAGAAAGAATTCATACTACTGTCTGAATACTACAGACAAAGGAAGAGGCTTTTAATGGGAGAAAGACCGAGGCTATTTACAATAAGGAGAAATTCAAGACGACATTTAAGGTGACATTTTCAAAGAATTCGTACTGCTATACAAAACTATAGGGAAAGAGAGAAGGTTTTTAATTAATTTTTTGTTTGTTAATGGGAGAAAGTCAGGGCGAACATTATAACAATTAAGCAATAATTCAACACGGCTGTTCTACCGCTATCAAACACCAGAACACTACAGGTAAAGGTTTCAATTAATTTCCTTGTTCGATAATGCGAGAAAGATAGTGAGGAGAACATTACAATTAGGAATAATTCAATACCACCGTTAAGATTGACATTTTTCAAAGAATTCATACAGCTATCGAATACTACAGGGAAAGGAAGATGGTTTTTAATTAATTTCTTTGTCTGATAATGGGAGAAAGATAGAGTGGAAACATTAGAATAAGGAATAATTCCATACATAAGTTACATTTTCAAACAGTGGAGAAATTTCCTCTAATATATATTTTTTAATTTTTTTTAATAATTTATACATTGTGAATTCAAGTGAAACCTCTTGTATATAGATAGGTTCTTCGCTCTATGATGGATGATATGTCAAAAAAACTAAAGTAAAGGAGTTTCAAAAAATATTTGGATTCTTTATACTGCTATTGACAGGGTTAGCCATAAGTTGCCTAGACAACCCATTATTCAGCCACCCACTTGGACCTGACATATGGATCCTCATCAGATGTGTACAAGACAAAAAACAAGGTTACAAGAAGGTGAAAGTCTAACTGACATAATCCCACGGATGCTTTAGGTTATTAATAGATAGAGAGAGAAAGGGGAATTCAAGTGAATTTTTTCATTCTTTTTATTTTGGATCTTGAATTTTGTAACATCTTGACCATAAATTTAGTTGAGATTTACATTGTCATTACACAGAATTGGCCAATTATAATAACCAATTTTCTAACAATCTACTTCTTTAGTAATTTGGTGACAGCATGCAAAGGTAAAAGATTCAAATATTACAATTCGAAAGCCACAACAAATCAAACATAATTGTAAACTATTGTTCCGGGAGGGAAACTCAATGTGGATCTTCCCTCACAATTATATACATAGAAACCAAGACACTGTACCTAGGGGGTGAATAGATTTTTCAATTTTTGTCCAAATTGCTTACAGATTAAAACATATATCTACCACAATTATCTCTTCTCACAAATATTAAGTAACTAATATGAAAACCCTTTTTACACACCATAACCCATGTCACACATGATGATTGATTTAGATTAACCTTCAACGAATTCACTCAAAATCAATCTCACACTAATCCCAAACTCAAAACCCCAATTACACAACTATGGTTGAATAGATGATCACACAATCAAATCAATAAACACGTAGTGCGCGTGTGTGTTAACAATCACAAGTGTATACGATATGAAATAAGAATACAAGCGATTTGTGTGACATGAAAACCTTTCTTGGAGAAAAATCATGAGAAACCACTTAGGGTTCACCAAAACCTAATTCACTAAATGTCAAGTCAACATACAAATATTCGAGACTTATACCTCAACCAATACTATGGTCAGATGCTCATTTCCTTGCTATGTCTCTTCGCTGAAAGTCCCTCTCCAACGTCTGGTGTAGCTTTACTTGCACTTCTTTGCCGCACGGTTCGTCTAGGCCTCAAGCGATTATGGGAACGCCCACACCAATAAGTATTTCAACTATCAAGTTCTTCTTCTCCAAGTTGTGAAATTGTGTAGAATCTGTGACGCCCCTAAAATCGGGGGGTCCTTTGTCAGTCCGTTGATCACCCATCAACCCGCGGAAGTAACCGTGAATGTTTCATAACCAGACATCCCCTTCACTGGGATCATAAACAACACAGAGTTTAGGCAGAATCTCCCTTGTACCGGGCACTCCCAAACACATAAACTTTGTACATTTCAATCACTTGACCATTCTAAGGTCCAATATACATTAATTTGTCCTTAATATTACTCTATTTATATCTTTTGAACAAAAGGACTCAAGACTCGAAGGCTTGACAAGATCATATTAAATTTTTGAAAATTTAAGAGGACCTACTGGTAGATAATCAACGTTTTACAAGTAGAAGAGTTCTCTGGAATTCTTCTATTGATAGAAAATTAATGTTCCACCGGTAGAAAAACTCTCGGGAAATTTTCTACCAGTATATAATTCAATATTCTACCGGTAGAAGCCCAAGTTTGCCTCCAATTTAATCATTTTTCAATTCCAACTCATCCAATCTCATATAACATCCAATTTTACACAAAAAATAATTAATATGAGTTCGTTTTACAATCCTTTATGCAAGATTACATGTACAAAAACTAATTACACACTTTTTTTACAAAAATATAATTCAAAGCCACAACTCGGTTTCCTTAATCAATAAGGGCCCGAGTAAGAGTTATCTACCGGCACTTGTCCCGCACCTGAAATATTGTCCCCATAAAGGTTGAGTCACGCTCAATAGGGTATTTCCTAATGGGGCTACTCCCCAACCTAAATGTATATGAAATGCTCACATGCAATTCAACAATCAAACAAGCATTCATCCAAGAGCATACAACTTCAAGAAGGAATGTCATAATATCATACCATGTTATGAGGTGAGACTCATATATGCAATGCAACCTGAGCCTTCACTGGCTCCCATAACATATGCAATGTCATGCATATGAATCCAGACATTCCAAGCCTCTGCTATTGATGTTGCATATTCAATGACTAATATATAAAATAAACCATTTGTCTTTATTGGATAACCAATGGTCCACCACACCAAGGCAAATTTTGGTATCCCACCTTCGGTTCCACGTACACCAATACACTTTTTTGAACTTTCACCGTCAGAAGTGTATAAACCAGTAATCGAGTCTTGCACCCAAGGGAAAGTCTAGCCCTTCTTGTTATACCCAATACAAGTTTTCAATGCAAGCCTGTGCGACTCAGCCGGACATAGGTCCAACATTCCCAAGTCCAAACCTCAACCACCAACAATGGTATTTGATCCAAAAAACATGCACACACCCACACCTATGTCACATGCCCACGAATGTGATGCTTTTCGTGCATATTTAATGTAATGTACAATTGCATTTCATATTATTATGCAACCAAGATTTCAATTATAATTATAACATCATGTTCAATATGTCATGGGCAAAAATATGAACAATTCCAATTCCTTAATGTAACTTATATCATAAATCATATAATTACATTCTAACATTATCACATTCCCAATTTGTCAAGTATATCAAAGACATATAATTACAATCCACATTCTCACCAAGCATGTTACAACATTTTCAATGAAACAAACATGCTACATTAACATAGAAATTTTATCAAACACCTTCAAGGCATAAATGTAAACATATAGCATGCCCAATCAATAAATTTCTCATGAAATTACCAAAACAAACAATTTTACCCAAAACTCAATTCATGCAAAATTTGGTTTTATATATTCTTATACCATTTTTCATACTCTAACTACATTAGAAATACATTTAGACAAGAGATTTCATCTCAAGTCATATTACCCAGTTCATATGAAACTGTAGGATGAAAATAAACTAAGCTACGAGAAGAACCCTACATCTTGAAGCTTAATACAAATGGTAGAAAGCTCCCAAGAACCCAAATCAAGCTTGATTTTTAAAAATCTCGTCTTTGAGACTTCGTCTAAATCCTCAATTTTTTGGTATGGTTTTGTAGCTCATGTCGCGTAGAACAATCTTTATCCTTGGCCCAAAGCGATTTGATGAATGGAGAGCCGTAGATCTTAGGGAGAAAGTTGAAGAACCCTTCTTTTCCCTCTCTTCCGTTCCCCTCTTTTTTCCCGAAATGCAAGACTGAGAAATGAGGGAAAATCTAATTTTTCCTCCTTTTTATACTCCCCGTATACACCACACGTCCCGTCTTTTATTGATTCAATTTTGTCCCGAATCAATTAAATTTTGTCCCGTTTTAAGTTTAACATATTTTATTTGAACTAACTTTAAATTATTTTTCACATTTCTCAATTAATTCCCAATCACATATATTTTGGTCAGACAACACCCAATCACTTCATAAAACGTAAAAAATCAGACTGTCTCAGAATTCAATAAAAATTGACTCGGTAACTAAGTTTCACGAGACGAATCCAATAGTGAGGTCCGTTTCATCATCCGAGTTCTAGAAAAATTTAAGTTTTCAACCCCTACCGTAGCGGCTAACTATCGTTTTGCCCTGTTTCATAAAAATTCAAATTTTCTCGATTTTCACATTCTTCCCTCTTTAATAGAAATTTCGTCCCCGAAATTTACACACACATGTACATTCAACCACATGCATATGCAACAGTCATATAACAGTTAATGACCACAAGAACGTACCTTCATACTCGAACAAGAGCGGATAACTAGCACATATAGTGTTTTCACGCTCCCATATCACCTCCTCCACACCATGGTGTTGCCACAACACCTTCACCTACCTCACGATCTTGCCTCGCAAAATCTGCTCTCACTTATCCAAGATACGCACCAGTCCCTCCTCGAAGGTGTCACCGCATCAACAACCAACTCACCCCAATCCACCACATGCGTAGGATCTAGAGTGTACTTTTGAAGCATGGTGACATAGAACACTACGTGAACAGCTGATAAATTTGGTGGTAACGCCAAACAATAATCAATTGTATCAACCCTCTCGAGTACCTTGAAGGGCCCGATATACCTCGGTGACAACTTTTCCCGNCGATAACGTCAA